GCACCCGTGGCTCCCGACCCCGGAGGACGGTCCGCGTGGCCTCTAGCCAGTCGCCGGTGCAGGCGGAGGGGTTTCCGAGAGCGATGGCTTGGCCCCCGGGTGGGGCTCAGTGGCTGAGCGTCCTCCCCTGACCCTTGTGGTCGCGATTCCATTCCCGGTCCAGGGCACGTGCTCGGGTTGCGGCCTCCATCCCCGGTAGGGCGCGCAGGAGGCAGCCAATAGATGTTTCTATCGCTTCCTCTCTCTAAAATCAATAAAAACATCACAACACTCACTCACACGCAAAGCCAGAGAGGCTCGCGGCCCTTTCCAGGTCTTCATGACCACCAGCCAGCCTGAAGTCTCACCTTTTGGGTTACTTTTCCTTACTCATTTTCCTGTTTCCTTTAACAAATGAACCTTTTCAATACTTTCAACAATAAAGATATTCTTTAAATGAACCTTTTCCTTCCTAACAACAATCTCTTTCCACTTGGTGCAAAAGCTGGTTGTTGTGTGTTTTTTTAGTTCATTATAATAATAGCTTCCAATTTTTGATTGCTTACTATGCAGAGGAGATGGTGTTTTACTCTGTATTAATCACACTCCATCCGTGCAACAAACTGAGTTATCCCCATTTTACAGGTGAGGAAACGAACACAGCTAGTGGAGCTGCCCTTATGCCCTCACTACCTGTGCTGACTCATGGGAAATACACCACTCAGACTGTCCCTGCTGGCCCCCAGGGGTGAGTCTCCCCAGAATATGCCACCCTCATCCAGATTATCTCCAGCTGAAAATAATTAAAGCCCAACAAACTCAAGGAGAGTTTTTACCTCCCCTCATCTGCCTAAAGAGATGCAGATAGCAAAACCTGCTTCAGGAAGGGAATCTTAGCATATTCACCTTAGCACAGAAACATTAAGTGTGTTGCCCTAACTGGTTTGGCTCAGTGGATAGAGCATCAATCTGCAGACTGAAGGGTCCCAGTTGGATTCTGGTCTGGGGCACATGCCCAGGTGCAGGCTCATCTCCAGTAGGGGGCGTCCAGGAGGCAGCCGATCAATGATTCTCTCATCATTGACGTTTCTTCCTCTCCCTTCCTTTCTGAAATCAATAAAAATATTTTTATTAAAAAGGAAAAAGAAACATTAAGTGTGTTGCCCTGACCCGGTGGCTCAGTTGGTTGGAGTGTAATCCAGTGCGCCAAAAGGTGTCAGATTCATCATGGTCTGGGAGCATATGGGAGGCAACTGATGAATGT